CAAAGTAATATTTTACATATAACGGACAGCTTTGTTTTGTATCGTAATGGCACTCACCCAAGTTGAGAAACCGCTCAGAAGTATCTTTCCTCATGCAGGTGTAATGTTTGTAATGAGGAATCTTCTATTTTATTCTAAAAACGTACAATAATAGAGGAAATTCCCTTTTTCCAAGTTAGTGCCATTATTATTAAATTCAATTTATACAGCGCTCATTTCATAAAAAAATGTTCAGGGGTGCTTAACAGTATTTAAAAAAATACCTTTTAGAACGACTATTTACAAAGACCTAAACTAATTAAAATAGACACAATTTAACATTGATTTAAAAGTTTAAACCAGACATGGTGGGACTTCCACACGGCCGGCACCAACTCTCCCTTCAACGACCCACCGTGCGTCCAAGACTCATCCTTGTGCCCGAAAACTGGAAGCACTCTCCAAGAGAACACCCAGATTCTCCCAGACAGGTCCAACAAAATGCAAGACGACAAAATTACAATCAAAATTAACATCCACCCAGAGCCTAGAAATTAATAATATGCTTTCTTAAAAAGATATGTTTTTAACATTGATTTAAAAGTAATGACAACGGTTGCACTTCTAATATTACATGGACGCTTATTCCAGAGATGTGGCGCACAATACTCAAATGCTCGATCTCCGAGGGTAGCCTTAGCCCGACCTGATGGATAATTGAGGAGGACACCATCACTGGAACTTCGAAGATGGTAACGGTTCCGAAGCCCTACGGAGACATGCTGAGTTAAGTATTGAGGAGCTAAATCATGTAAGACTTTGTATGTCATCAACAAAATTTCAAATTCAATTCTATATAAAACCGGAAGCCAATGTAAATCAATAAGAAGAGGAGTAATTCGACAAAATGTCGGTGTCTTGTAGACGAGTCGTTGTAGACGAGTCGTACCCTTTGGGGCTGATTAATATGAGTACTGGGTAAGCCATAAAACAAACTATTACAGTAATCCAATCTACTTGAGATAAATGCATGAATCGGTGTCTCAGTACGTTCCTTGGAGAGATATTTCCGAATGTGACTAATATTATGCAGATAATAGAATGCGCTACCACAAAGCTTAATAATATGCGTTTTCATAGACACATTAGCATCAAACCAGGTACCTAAGTTACAAGCTGTAGCCAAGGGTGAAATGACAGAGTCCCCAACATGAATACCATCCACAGTTACCTCGGATATTTGTTGACGAGGGCCAATAATGATAAATCCCGTTTTATTGTCATTCAAAAATATTCCATTATTAAACATCCATTGTCTGACATCGTGTATGCAAGCCTCCATAGCTGACAGGGCAAATTCCGGACTACCAGTTTCATCTGGAGAAAATGATAAATACAACTGAGTATCGTCAGCACAGCAATGGATTCTTGGGTGATGAGCATTGACGATGTCAAACAACTGACTAGTGTACAAGATAAGCAATAAAGGACCTGAACATGACCCTTGAGGAACACCCCATTCAAGATTACGTTGATTGGATAGTTTACCATCGATCAAAACCCTTTGAGATCTACCACTCAAATATGAGTTAAACAAGTTGAGGGCAGTGCCAATAATTCCAAAACGTGACTGGAGTAAACTCAAAAGAACATCATGATCTAATGTGTCGAAAGCTGCACTCAAATCTAATAACACCAGAAGTGTAACGTGTTTTCTGTTCACGGCCATCAACAAATCATTTTGATGTAGTAACTTTAGCAAATTTCATTCCCATGTTCAAACCTGATGGAAGGGGAAACCACCACTGGCTTGCCTGAAAACATTTGGCCAATTCAAATATTTTGACTAGTGGGTGTAATGTGGTATTACAAGACAGGGGAGTGATGGGCTGCTTGGCCAAATTTTGAAAGTCAAATTTCTTTTTGGTCCAGCATAGAGTCCGAGTTTCAAAACATGAGTACTGTACTGCGTACCCTCCCCCTTCAAGAGCAAACCCTGTGTGCGAGTTTCGAACCTATAGTTAACCAAACCTAACCCTAATCAACAGAAATGAACCGTACACTTTGCAGTCGCTAGTCACAAGTGATTATTTCCGGCAGTTGAAGAAGATGGAAATTCACAGACGTTAGCCTAATGGCCAAACTGCACAGTTATGCACTATAAGCCCCACGTGAAGTCATAGGCCCATAACCTGGATGAGAGACAACC